CTCGAGGCTTCTTGGCCGGTGTACCGGCCTGCAGTGTCTGGGGACTCGAGGCTTCTTGGCCGGTCTACCGGCCTGCAGTGTCTGGGGACTCGAGGCTTCTTGGTCGGTGTACGCGCCTGCGGTGTCTGGGGACTCGAGGCTTCTTGGCCGGTGTACCGGCCTACGGTGTTGGAAGAGTTGATATGGCATTAATGCTGTATCCCTCGTCAAACAACCTTTAAGTCGTATGACGTTCTTTGAAATCTTTGAAAACACTGACTGAATATTTAGATTGATATCAAACTAATCGGTCCTCCGACACAAGATTAGAGATGGGTATCACCTCGTGTCATCACAATGTTCGATATGAAGGCACGTGAGGTGGCCTGGTGGATAAAGTAGCCGTTCGTCACACTATGTCCTGGTTCGATTCCACACATGGGTACAATGTGCGAATCACGCATCTGGTGTCCCCCTGCCGTGATATCGATTAACTATTGTACGTGTACTGACACACTCACGTACAGTCTGCATAATGAGTGAGTGCCTTTGCTTTTAGCAATATTCCAGCAATATCACGACGGGGGACACCAGAAATGGGCTTCACACAATGTACCCATGTCGGGAATCGAATCCGGGTCTTCGGTGTGACAAACGAACGTTTTAACCACTAGGCTACCCGACCGCGCCACAGTCTGCATAAAACAGCATCTATCATTTACAAGCAAATCGATTTGACATAAAAAAACGAAATGGCCATCACTCATGGGGCGCATTTTTCACCTAGGTACATAAAGTATATTGTATATCGTATATCGTATTAGTTACCACCTAATTACATAGATACAACTAGATATAGTTCTTGAGACCAACTGAAAAAATGAATGTTTTATTCTTGACAGCTTTTACTCCATCATAATTATTGACAGGATATGCTCACCTTGTCGCGAACACCTGGTGTCACCACTATTTAATAGTGATTCATAAACACATTCATATGATATAATCACATACATGTGATATAAACACAGACAAATGATATAAACACATACATGTGATATAAACACATACATGTGATATAAACACATACATGTGATATAGACACAGACATATCATATAAACACATACATAGGATTTTAACACAGACATATGATAAAAATACAGACCAATGATATAAACACAGGCCTATGATATAAACACAGACCTATGATATAAACACACACGATGCAGTCGGAATCATGGAATTCCTTATGGATTAGGTAAAAGCGTTCTGTCGCTTTATTCATCTGTGTGAAACTGAAGCAGCGTTTCTGTGTAATGTTGGTGGTGTTTCAGGGCGCTTCAGTTACTGGATGGACTGCCAACATGAACCTACACGCTGTACAACTCGCCAAACATGCTACTCTTATGACGTACATTAACCTAACAACTGGCGTCATCTTAAATTTAGGAACATTCGTCTTTGGAACGTTTTATTACGACGCTGACGCGTTTATGTTGCATTGGTTCTATGTCCTTGACGTAGCCGCCCCCTACCCCAGCCCACCCCCTCTGTGCATGTTGTGATTATTTGTAATAGTAATTAAATACGTTGACGCCAGAAAATAATCAGTCTCGATTATCTGCCGAAACAGTTTCTATTGGGTGTTGATGGCAAAATAGTGATGAAAGTGATGAGGAATGGGTCACTGAAAATCAGTGATGACACCGGGTATTCACGAAATGGGTCCGGCACCCGCCACTCACACATGTGCATAAAAAATAAGTGCTTGTTCGTTTGCTGATGCCGCTCACCAATACTCATGTCATACGACGACCGCTTGTAGTCACTTGAGCCTCGAACTGTCCAAGTTGGTTAGCAATACAATAACCCATGTTTAAAATTTGTAACAGAATGCATGAATCACATATTCAAAGCCTTTAAATTAAACATCTTGGCTACTCGTGTAGGAGGTCTTCATGGGCCTGTCCCCGGGAATGTCCCAGGTGGCGTTACACACAGATGGTGGGCACCGTTATTTATTGGCACGTGCAACAAGCTTAATGATGACCTCAGCATATTGTGAGCTGTGTAATATACAACCAGGAACTAGATTTGAAAACTGGGTCAATTGCGGGATCGAGAGGGTCACTGTGGTCACGTGACTGGTGTGTACACGGTGTGTTCAACCAATGAAAGCCCACGACACCCCATGACTATAAATTGTCAAGGCAAGAGAATAACCAGCCTAGATTATCCGCCGAAACAGATTTAAGGCGTAATGGTAAAACAACAAACGATACCACCTATGACAAATATATAAATTTCCAAGATGTACAGGACATGGTGACACTGTACTAGGTAAATAAAGGCGAGATTCTGTTTCCAAAATGACTCGAAATCTCCATTGTACGATTTCAATTGTATCATAAATAGGTATCAATGAATTACTATCAAATAGTGATGATACGAAAAGGTGATCGTATCCTGCCCCTTATCCCATCTTGGCGGTGGCGCCCGTCACAAACACATGCAAATGCAAGTCAAGTGTTCACCTGAAAAAAACATGGGGATATATCGTACAAGTCAAAATAGGAAATTGCATCAGACATCATTTTTGTCACTGATACATAAAATCTAGCAATGTCCTCCAGAAGTCCAGCATAAAACGTTTGAAAGCTTTACTGAGGCCTTGAATGTTGTAACCTTGGTCCCACAACTCTTGAGTCATACGACGCTTTTTGCAATTTTCTCAGAAAGATCACGCTTGATTGTATCTCAAAAGTTGTGAAATGTAAACGCCAAAGGCTGGATCAGCCTTGGGAAGCCAAGGGAAGTTGACAACTGGACAATTGAAGTCATCTGTTTTGTCATACAGTCTTGTTTTTTGTCTCTCTAGATCTATGAAACACACGAAGTTTATCATACATCGTAAGAGGCGACTAACGGGATCGGGTGGTCAGGCTCGCTGACTTGGTTGGTGCATGTCATGCCTCTTACGACAAGCATTGTCTCCTTTTACAACAAGTATAGGTTGCTGAAGACCTATTCTAGCCCGGATCTTCACGGGTCACCACTTCTGATAAAACAACTACAACCACTACTACGCCTACAACCACTACTACTACTACTACTACTACTATTACTATTACTACTACTAGATTTCTGGATATGTTATACTTAATATCACTACCATATCAGGCCTACTACTACTACTACTACTACTACTACTACTACTACTACTACTACTACTACTACTATTACTACTACTACTATTACTACTACTATTACTACTACTAGATTTCTGGATATGTTATACTTAATAGCACTACCATATCAGGCCTGACCGCCACTTGACAACGTGCTTATCTGACATCTAATAAATCACTGTTATCTTTGAAGCTGTAACAATATTGACATACGACAAAGTTTTAGTTAAGATTGGCAATTTCGCCAACTTCGCCCACAACGAGAAAATGATACAATCTCCCAATCAATGGGTGTTCGTGTCATATATCATGATTTGTATTGTGGTCTATACATCTACAAATGTAACAGTTTGGAACTCAATCAAAATGTTCTATTTATGTATTTAATCATCACAGAGCCTGATCTATTAAAATGAATATGTTAACGCTGGAGATTAATCAGAATAATCTACCGAAAAGTTCCATTGGGCGTTACAGACAACATAGTGATGCAAACTATAAGAATGGACTACTTGAAATCTGTGATGACACCAGGTGTTCGCGAGAAGGGTAAACATGCCATGCACTCGCGCCACTCACACAATCTGAATACAAAGTAAGTATTTGTTGCCTCACGATGCATTCAGCAATTCTCCTGTCATACGACGGCAGCCTGTAAACAATTGCCCTGGACTAGACAATCCAGTGATAGCGAGTCTGGACTAGACAATCCAGTGACAGCGAGTCTGGACAAGACAATCCAGTACACCTCTTACGACACGCATACGTATCGGGGATTTATTCTTACCCAGAAGAAAACGGCGTCCAGCTAGCTTCACACTTGTAATATAGCAATAAAAAACGCAGTTTTTATCAAACCGTTTATTACAAATCCCTACCATACATACATAAATACTCATCACCATGCACACATTGACTTATTCATGATCACCCACGCGCACATATTTCCTATGTACACATACATGAATATAATGAGCAATATGAAAAACACAGGACAACAATGTCATCTATTTTCACATAGAATAATAAACATGGCATATCGGGGTGCGGATGAGGTGGGGGTGATGTTGACATCGTGATTAATTACCCTTGGGCAACGAAAATGGTTTATGGAAACTTATCTCATTGATCGCAACAGCAACAGTTTCACAGTAACTATTTGCCTGCATTTTTGCTGGGTTTTTACAGTTTTTACAGTTTTTAACAACTGCCCAAGAAATAATAAATGTTACTTTATCTACCATGTGTAGATCCTTCCTCTGGTGAGTCCATGTCGCTCAGTAAGGACAGATTTCATGTACCCTAGTTAGCGCCTAGTTAGCACCTAGTTAGCGCCTAGCCTTTACATTAATGAGGGTCTGAGGTGTGCATTCGTCAACTCACATTTCCTTAACGTGTACATAGAAATGGTTTTCTTTGAAAACAAAACAAAACAAAAACAAGTTTATAAATAGGAACACATTCACATCCACAACGTAACCTCATTGCACTTGTGCCATCATTGTGGTCTGTATTGGCAAATAAATAATAAATAAATAAACAATAATGCTGAAAAAGACTACAACCCGTAGACGCCGGACATTCATACATGTTTCTGGCAAGTAAACTCACACTAACTACATATACACGAAGAATCTGCATTCGTTTAAAGTATATAGATTGTTAGATCCAATTATTTTCTATTGTCAAAGAGTGTAGGTAAAAAAGATCAGATTCTTTCTAAAAACACGACGAAAATTGAATTTATAATAAAATTTCAAATAAGGAGTATTCGTGCAATATGTAACCGAATATTTGATCAATGTTCACTCGTATGTTTCACCTTTTTGGTCTTAATGTTTATTTCCCCTCCTTCCTTTCCCCCGTCTCCTTTTCCCCTCCCCCTTGTTCTTCCTCCTGCACCCCTTGAATAATTTCAACCCCCGCGTACATTTGATAACAGATTTCTTTCCAATACACGCTCCGAACTTCGCCATACCTCCCATGGCTATCGTGATGTTAGATCGTTTTACTATGTCAGTACTGAGATTTATCTCCAAACTTTGGCTGTTCGCCTTGGTATCTGCCAGGCTTCCGATGCCACGAAGCAAATAACATAGGTGAGTTTTGGACTTGTTGATCTGCGTCAGGCTTTCGTTATTGTCAGCACAGGTGTGAAACAGCATTGTCCAAACCTTCTCGTCTTCGATCTCCTTCAAAATCTCAAGATATTCCAAAAAGTACATGACAGGAAATGCGTTCATCTTCTTCACAGTCTTCAATTGCTGCAATACAGAAAATAGGTATTATCTTCCTTGTTGTGAAATGCTTTGTGTGATGCGTAATACGATGCTGGTTAAAACCTCTAAGATCAGGGTTCTAAAAATTCCAGGCCTCAAAGCTTTCAAAAGGTTTTATGGTAGAACCATGGGGCACATTTCCACATTGGAAACATCAGTGACAAGATGATTCTCTACTTTGGCTTGCACCACATGTTCCCGTGTGTTTTCATGTGAACAATTGACTTGTCTTTGCATGTGTTTGTAATGGGGCATCGATGGGGCAGTATACGCTCACCTTTTGGCGAACACCTCGTATCATCATTATCTGACAATGATTCATAAACACATGCATATGATATAGACATGCTTTATTGTGATTATAATGTGTCCTTTTTATAAATATGCATCAATGTATCTACCGTGCAGCTAACCGTTATGTCATATAACCGACATATGTTGATGATTATGATTTTGATCTTTACCTGTTTTGTAACTGGACATTCATGTTTGAACTCTTCTTTACCAGGCCACTGTTGCAGAGCAGCTTTCTGTTAACACAATCAAGCAACATGGTAAGGCAAATAGAAAATCTTGTATCGACGCACTGATATACTGTATATATATTAAGAAGTCTTAAAGTGATTAAATAATTACAATAGACTTAACATGCTTGGATTTGAAGCCAAAACAGACAAAATGTACATAAACCTTCGCTTTCTCTTACTCCTACCAAGTTGTTTCCGTCAATTTGTGAAGTAGCTGAAATATTGATGCGTTTTGTACATAGAGTGCCCACGTGGAAATGGCTGTCACTTCCACACATTGTCTTACAAATTGGCCGTAACATGTACCTAACTATTGCCATGCCACGTGATGCACAAGTCAGTACCAATCCAACATAGTGTTCGAATATCACGCTTTTCTTCAAATTGTGTTCGTTAAGGATGATGCTCATATGTCACTAGTATACTCGTCTTCCCTGTTACACACACTCACGCGTTGAACAAAATATGATGATAAAATCTGTGGGATTAAGTATCCCCTCCACTAACCCCAACACACACACACACACACACACACACACACACACACACACACACACACACACACACACAGACACACACACACACACACACACACACACACACACACAGACACACACAGACACACACACCGCAGTCTACATAACTAAGACAAGTCCAGAACACAGTCTGTCTAGATTTGCAGCGGTGTTTAAATAACGTGTTGATAAAGTGCCTCGTTCGCCTCTCTTGAGCCAGTAACGTTTTTGGGCGTATTTCCGTATTGTCAACTCAATCTCTTGTTACTTACACTTATATTAAGCCATTCATTCGTCGCGTCTTCCATCGAACTTCCGTGTTTTTTCAGGTATGGCTTGAAATCTTCCTTCGCCATGTTGCCACCGATGTGGAGTTTACACACTTCATCCAGGTAGTACGTGACATTGCGCTGCCTCGCCCGACTGCCACACACTAAAGGGATAACATACACTAAATGACACAAGCTATTCGTTTCAAATGAACGGTGATTATATAACATTTGATACATTTAATAATGGTCTATCTTAAATATAAAGAAGAAAACAAAAAGGGAGGTCCAAACATTACAATGGTAATATTGATTTACGACAATAGAGTTACGAGTGACACAACAGGTATATACTCTAGGAAAATGTAAACCAGAGACCAACATCGTAAAGACCTCAAGCAATTTGAACAAACCATAGAGATTTAAACACAACTAGGAACAAATTATTTTCTGTTTTTTAAAAAGCCACATTTAGCGGTTTAGACAAAGTTTTAGTGTTGCTTGTATCAAACTGATTCACTATCTTACCTGAGAGAGTTACGCAAAGCAGTACGAGTTTCAAATAATTCATCTTGCATATAACTCTGATTGTATCCTTATTGTATCAACCAATATGATAATAATTTCGAACGGGTGCCTTTTATACAGACTCATGAGCTGGCATGGCATTTCCATTTTCTATTTTTTCATCTACGGGCTATGGGATATGAACCAAACATCCAACCAGATAATTCTCTGCTGTGATCACAAAAAGTTTGATTCTATATTTGGTTTGTGAATGTGACTCCGCCCCCAACGTTACCAGTCACTACTTCCAGATGTACGTATACTTCCGGTTTCTAAATAACGCCACACTTGTTCCTGTATAATTCATACCTATCTAAGTATTCATATAGCTACTTATCCCACATGTACAGGCATTGACACATGAAATAGAAAAATAAGTTAATCTAATTCATTCGTTATTAGATGGCATGTCAGATCCCATTAATAAATAAATACGTTTTAGATTTATTTTACCCGAAATGAAACATCACTTTAAAAATAAATTAAAAGCAATAATATATTGTTCATCCGTGCTACAAATATGTCGCTTTAACATTTTGTTGCCAACAGAGTGTAGTAAATATAACTATTAAGCTTCGCATGAATTCATTTGTTCACTGTGTTAGCTCTCTTTACGAATACAATAGAGATAAGCAGACAGGAAACCTCACGAAAATAGGTTTCGGTTCATGTGGGCTTAGTGGTTTTAGTGTCCATGTTGTTATCATTGTGACTGTTATAATATTGTATCAATATAGCAAAAATGTCTGCACTATTTTCACAATAAGAGCTGTGTAGGAATAACATGGCTGTAAGTTTTGAGGCGGGTCCACCACTGAACACACCTTCGAGACAAGGGTTGACACATACGGTGAGATGCGCTCGTGGGTTCGAATCCAAGATTTCTTCTGACAATGTGGGTCTTCATCACCACACCCGAGATCGTGGGTCCTCATCGCTATACCCGTGATCGTGGGTCCTCATCACCACACCCGAGATCGTGGGTCCTCATCACCACACCCGAGATCGTGGGTCCTCATCACCACACCCGAGATCGTGGGTCCTCATCGCTATACCCGAGATCGTGGGTCCTCATCACCACACCCGTGATCGTGGGTCCTCATCACCACACCCGTGATCGTGGGTCTTCATCACTATACCCGAGATCGTGGGTCCTCATCACTAAACTCGTGATCGTGGGTCTTCATCACTAAACTCGTGATCGTGGGTCCTCATCACCACACCCGAGATCGTGGGTCCTCATCGCTATACCCGTGATCGTGAGTCCTCATCACTATACCCGTGATCGTGGGTCCTCATCGCTATACCCGTGATCGTGGGTCCTCAGCACTATACCCGTGATCGTGGGTCCTCATCGCTATACCCGTGATCTTGGGTCTTCATCACTAAACTCGTGATCGTGGGTCTTCATCACTAAACTCGAGATCGTGGGTCCTCATCACTAAACTCGTGATCTTGGGTCTTCATTACTAAACTCGTGATCGTGGGTCCTCGTCACTAAACTCGTGATCGTGGGTCTTCATCACTAAACTCGAGATCGCGGGTCCTCATCACTATACCCGAGATCGTGGGTCCTCATCACTAAACTCGTGATCGTGGGTCTTCATCACTATACCCGAGATCGTGGGTCCTCATCACTATACCCGTGATCGTGAGTCCTCATCGCTATACCCGTGATCGTGGGTCCTCATCACTATACCCGTGATCGTGGGTCCTCATCGCTATACCCGTGATCGTGGGTCCTCATCACCACACCCGTGATCGTGGGTCCTCATCACTATACCCGTGATCGTGGGTCCTCATCACTATACCCGTGATCGTGAGTCCTCATCGCTATACCCGTGATCGTGGGTCCTCATCGCTATACCCGTGATCGTGGGTCCTCATCGCTATACCCGTGATCGTGAGTCCTCATCGCTATACCCGTGATCGTGAGTCCTCATCGCTATACCCGTGATCGTGGGTCCTCATCACTATACCCGTGATCGTGGGTCCTCATCACTATACCCGTGATCGTGAGTCCTCATCACTATACCCGTGATCGTGGGTCCTCATCACTATACCCGTGATCATGAGTCCTCATCGCTATACCCGTGATCGTGGGTCCTCATCACTATACCCGTGATCGTGGGTCCTCATCACTATACCCGTGATCGTGGGTCTTCATCACCACACCCGTGATCGTGGGTCCTCATCACCACACCCGTGATCGTGGGTCCTCATCACCACACCCGTGATCGTGGGTCCTCATCACCACACCCGTGATCGTGGGTCCTCATCACTATACCCGTGATCGTGAGTCCTCATCACCACACCCGTGATCGTGGGTCTTCATCACCACACCCGTGATCGTGGGTCCTCATCACCACACCCGTGATCGTGGGTCCTCATCACCACACCCGTGATCGTGGGTCCTCATCACCACACCCGTGATCGTGGGTCTTCATTACCACATCCGTGATCGTGGGTCTTCATCACCACAACAATTGTGACTATCCAGAGCGGCAATGATGGGTTCAGGAAAGTGACAGAACAATTGTGACTATCCAGAGCGGCAATGATGGGTTCAGCAAAGTGTCAGTACAATTGTGACTATCCCGGACGGCAATGATGGGTTCAGCAAAGTGTCAGTACAATTGTGACTATCCAGAAATAATGTTCAAAGTAAAAACTTGATCAGTAATTTACTCACGCGTTGACAAGCATCACGTCGTGGGACTTAAACACTACATCAATAAGTATTTTATATGGACAAGGTTTAGGTGTAAATAGAAAATGTCAAACAAAAGAATTATTTGTTTAGGACATCATTAAAAGAAAATTGACGCTTAATACATTAAGACTTTAGAAATATGTTATTTATACGTCAATGATCCTCGTGATATTCCTAACAGCCTTCAGCTGAAAGTGGCACGTGCACTTCAACCTACAATGAATAAAGTGTTCGCGTTTGTCCAAGTTTAAATTGGAAGATTAAAGTACTTTTGTAATCCAGTGGAGTGTTAATCTTCCGCCAGATTCCACCTGTTTGACACAAGTAGCAGGTTTGTCTCCAGAGGCTACAACATTACACTCTCTAAGTTTACATTTTACTTAACGCTTTAGATTCCCCCATAAAAACCGCTTTTTCCCTCTTTACGTCCGCTACGTTGTGTATCGTGTAAAACTAGGTTGTTAGATACCTCAATATTTCCGTGTACATGACACCCAATATTAAACATGCATACACTACTACTTTGGTCCATGTTTGGGGCCGTGTCTATCTGTTGTGGAGCCCCTAATCTGCATATAGCTTCAGTGGTCAATTCCAAACAAAATTCGCAGCTATTTTGCCCTTAACGTCAAATATTGATCTGTGTCTGTGGATAATCTAGACTTGTTATTCTCTTGCATTAACAATCTATATTTCCGTATATGACGAGCAAATCGTGCCCTAATTACAGTTGTATATTTGTAACTATATGAAATATACGATAACTATACACTTGATGACAGATACATAGGCGAGTTTTAATAAGAAGTGTAAGCTTATCAAGCTGATCCCGGGTGATATGACTAGAGTACTGTTATGTAACAGTTCATTAACTGGTCAATGATTTGCTGTGGAAAGTTTTGAAATCTATAACATATTTATGTGCTATGTAGAGTGTGGGAATAAGATATTGAAGTTCTAATTACATTAAATTCCTACAAACTAAACTATTATTGTTTTCAGAGAAGGAACTAGATAAGTTATTATTATTATTTTCAATAATTTTTCCCTGCTTTTCCCTTTCACTGTAAGTCAAAATTCCTTCGGGAAATGTTCAACTGTGCCCATGTTATTCATGTCCTTGTACATGTCCTGGGTTTTGTAAATGTCTGAATGTATGAGGAAAGTCTATGTAATTTCTTAACACTATCTATCTATCTATCCATCTCTCTCTCTCTCTCTCTCTCTCTCTCTCTCTCTCTCTCTCTCTCTCTCTCTCTCCTCTCTCTATATATATATCTATATATATATATCTATATATATATCAAAAAAGTAAATACGTTTATAACGAACACGCTTATAACTTACTGACGGATATTACGAACCGTATATTTGGTCCCTGCCATATGCTTTATATGATTGCTTATAACGAACTACGGTTGTAATGAACTAACATTAGTGGTACACACAGTATATACTTAATATCAAACCTCTGTCATACGGAATAGATTTTAATGGTCATGAAGTCTTTCACTTCATTCGAAAAACTTTAAGGATTAATGCAGGATTCATGATTTATCACTGCGGCCTACAAAACAAACGAGTTTGGACCAAGTAAATCAATAAATGAAAGTGTGATCGTAAACGTAACCATTAGAGTTAGGGTGAGGACATTAGTTGTTCATATACAATATTACACATATTGTATTGTAACATCAGTCCTTACATATACAATATTACATATAGTGTATTGTAACATCAGTCCCTACATATACAATATTACATATATTGTATTGTAACATCAGTCCTTACATATACAATATTACATATATTGTATTGTAACATCAGTCCTTACATATACCATATTACACATATTGTATTGTAACATCAGTCCTTACATATACCATATTACACATATTGTATTGTAACATCAGTCCTTACATATACAATATAACATATATTGTATTGTAACACCAGTCCTTACATATACAATATTACATATATTGTATTGTAACATCAGTCCCTACGTATACAATATTACATATATTGTATTGTAACATCAGTCCTTACATATACCATATTACACATATTGTATTGTAACATCAGTCCTTACATATACCATATTACACATATTGTATTGTAACATCA